TATATATATATATATATAGAATATTGGACAAACACACTATGACTATGTTGCATCAAGTTGAAGAAAGACGTTTTGGCAAGCCCACTATCAGTATGTATAAATCTCATATAAAGCAACTGAAAAGCAATAAAGGCCAATACACATTGGCATAAAATCTACAACAAGTCGGTATAAGAAAAGAGACTAATTTACTATGACATCCTCCTCAGCATTCAAAGGACTCTTCTATAAGCTACTTCCAGCTTCTCCTCTTTTTGAGTGAGAAGGGAACTCTTAGGACGCCTTGCCGAGAGTATGGTTATCAATGTCTCTGTTGCAATATAATGGTGCATTAAATGGATCCCATTCTTTTGCATTGGAGTTCACAAGCTTATATTCCCCTCCTTGAGAGCCACAGTTCTCGATTGAAAAGCCTGCAAATTCTTTGCATTATGATGGAAATGGTTATAATTTTTCACAAAATCGGTCGTTTATGCCTTTGAGGAAAAGGGTCAACCAACCTTCAAAAAGTAGTGGTATCACCTCCTTAGAATTTTGGTACTCTCATTGATTCTAAGGGGGTCACTATTCCACGGAAATCAACATCTCAGAATTGAAAAAAATCCTCCAGAAAGCACAACAACAACACATAACAACTCCAGGGATTGTGTAACTCCGGCTCATAAAGAGGCACAAAAACAATTGTCACTAATGTTGACTTCAGAGGAATCTTGAGTCCTTGAGAATCAGCAAAAGAACCAAAATTCAAGCAAAGGGACTACGGTGTTGTGTAATAATAGCTCATAAAGAGGCACAATAGTAGACCAAGGGGACTCTGATATTATGCAACAACAACATAGAAAGTGGCACAATAGCAGGCCAGGAGACTCTAGACACTTCTAGGAGGAAGCGTGATTTCTTCTCTTTCTATTAATTTGGCCTTTTTATAGGATCAAAATGGCTCCAAAACTCTCAAAACTGTGAAAATTGGCCAAATCTTAGTTTTGTCGATGCATTCCCATTTGAGCCTCTCAGTTTCACTCATTTAGGCAGTAGTCACACTATTTCAACTAAAATCCATACGTTTTCACTCAATTTGTGAATTTATATGCTGTTAGAATGACGGCCCACCTAATTCTAGATGTGAGCCCTCACAATCCAATTGTGACGCATGATACGTTTCGACCTGCCCGACTCATTTATGGCATGCCTTCAGCCTCTTTGCTGCTCGCGTTCCCTAGCCCCACAGTGTCGGTGGCCAACTAACATTATTGCAACTCACTACTATGACTTACGTGTCCAACTATAGCCTACGTGGCTTACAGCTCATGCAACATCCAACTCGACCTATATGGCCTGCAGACAATGTTAAAGCTTCAAACTTTGGCCTTTATGCCCTACAAATATTGTTGCAACTCAAAACCCCAACCCATGTGACGAACTACGACCTATGTGGTTTACAACTCATAGAACTCTTAACTTTGACTTTTGTGTTCTACGGATGTAATTGCAACTCACCACCATGATGTATGTAATCAACTACGACCTAGTTGGGTGACAGCTCACGCAACTTCTAACTCCGACCTCTATGACCTAAGCACAATATTGTAGCTCTCAACTTCATCTTTTATGGCTCAAGAACACCACGACCAATGTGACCAACTATGACCTACGTGGCTCAAAACTCACATTGGCATCTATGACCTACGAATGTTAGTGCATCTCCCGACCACAACATAAGCGGCTGATTGCTGTCATTGCAGCTCTCCACTACGACCTTTGAGGTCAACCCATGCTCCCGAAGCTTCCAACAACTGCCTATATGACCAATTACTATTACAACTTTCAACTACGACATCTAAACAAGTTGAGACTATTACAACCACCAAGTACTACATTTATTGTATCTCATATTCGACTATTAAAGTCAGATCATTATTTTACTTTTTATCATTTTTCTAATTTAAGAGAATTACTTGACTAGATTAAACCACGTGATTTTTTCCCTCTCAATGATTTTCCACGTTCATCTGAGGTCATTGTAACCTTTCGTAAAGCTAGTTGTAATGTCGTTGTGGAAAAAGTCGAGCGTCAAATTTCTTAAAATAACCATATTTTAAAATACATCTTGTTGCAAAAATAAACTTATCATCTTAAATATTTCTTAATAATAACCAAAAAAATATTTCCCCCAATACACATATAATAACTTCACTCATTTTAATGAAACAATGAGGAGAAAACAATATCATTTCAGCATAGCAAGATAGTGTCAGCTAGCAGCGGCCTACAATATAAAATAAAATAGATCTAGGTCTCCTTCAGCTTACGTACAAAACAGTGTTCAGTCCTGCTGAGGCTTCTGTTTGGATAAAATAAATTAATATTTACATTTACTTTTTAAATTATTTATTTATTTATTATTATTATTTTACTTATTTGATCTGATGGAAAGCACAGAAGTACCAGCAGCAAATTCCTCCAATTAGTTTCTTTTTGGAATCCAAAGGTAAATAGATCCAAGGTCCATGGCTCTATTTCTATGGCTTTGGGTCATAATATGCCCATATTTTATATAAAAAATGTATTGTTTTGATACTTATGTAGATGATTCTTATGTACATGTGATATAATATATAATAAAAAAATGAGCTTGTTTTAGATTTTTTTTTATTTAATTTTAATAGGAAAATGCAATTTTTATTAAATAATATAAATTATATGCAGTCCATGTTCATTTTAATTCATGCAACTACTATATCATATGAAGATGAGGACTAAATGCAGAGAATAATGCATTCATGATTATTGCATGCTAGAAAAGATAGATAAAAATTAAGTCTTAGCTCAATATGCTATAGGAATTTAGCCTATTTTAGACGGTTTAGCATCGTTGATTAGTAAATTTCGACAGTTTCGCGACAGTTTATTGTACGTAGGTAAATTGTTTGTCGGTA